GAAAAAAAAAATTGGAGAATTTAGGGTTATGTTCTGGTAGGGTTCAGGGACAATCGACTTATATTTACCGCGTATTTCAGAATGTGGGGCCCACTGTTTATGGTTTTTTCATTTTCGCGCGCGGCAGTGACGTGGCAGTGACGTGGAAGGTGTCAGAAGTCCACGTAAGCATTTTGTACAGGTTGGCATACCCACGTCAGCGGTTCCAGTTAAGTTAACGGGCCACGCGAGCAAAATTTGACGGAGGGACTAAAAAGGGGCCGGATTTTAAAATTTAGGGACCAAAAAAGGGATTTTTTCGGTACAGGGACCAAAAAAGAGCTTTTTCCTATAGTAGAGGGACCAAAAAAGGTATTTAACCTTTTTTTTTTAATACCCAAATAGATAGATAAATTGATAGATGTTAGTAATTCAGAGAAAATAAGGGAGATTTGGAGTCGGGAGAATCTACGCTTCGCTCTTGCCCTTCCATCTCCATTTCCATCATCTGCACCTCGGAATCCGTTGATTTAAGATGATCTTTGTTAGCGACCGGCCCTATCCTCCCAACTCCTCCTCCTCCTCCTCCTCCTCCTCCGCCTCATCTTCATCTTCATCTTCATCTTCTCAGGTACTTCATTCATTCGCTCTTTCTTTGCTAAATAAAGAATTATTATTTTAACGAAAATTGACTTCATTCTTGTTCTTAGCTACTCCCCACAAATTAAATTTAACCACTTTCTTTTATGGTTAAATGACAATTGAAATTGATACTCTCTGCGTCTGTACGAATTTCAGATTTGAGTTGCGGTTTTGAACTTCCTCTGCTAAACTGACTTCACTAAAACATTTATAATTTTTTTTTTCTTTTTTGGTGTCTTTTGGCAACAGCCTACTAATATTTTGGTCGCATTGATGCAAAACCCAATTCTAGTGTCTGCCTCGAATTCATTCAAATTGCAGGATTCTGGTTTTGCGATGCCACAAAACACTAAATTTGTCTATGTTTTCCAAAGAGAATATGCAACCGTCGATCCTGCCCTTGTCCATGTAAAAAGTTCTCTATTTCAATTCTGTCTTTTTTTTAATTATTATTATTATTTTTTCATCCTTAATTTTTTTAACTCTTAACTTGTCCTTGTTACTGCATGAAAAAAGTTTGTTGGCACTGATGAAGCAACAACATGTGTTTGCCTGGTCATTCGCAACCGCAAAACTGGAATGTAAGAATTTCATACATACATACATACATATATATTCCATTCCACCATTACTATTTCAAAATGCTATTTCTGATTTTACCTTGTGCATGCAGGATCTCTGTTGCTCACATGGATTCTCCCAAAGTTGTTGATTTGGGTCTCACTCAGATGTTATCGCTACTCATTCATCATCATTCAGAAAATGCCGATTTCGATGTACTGCCTGCTTTTATTCCTCCCCTTATCTCTCTTCACTTAAAAAAAGTCATGATTAAAACTAAGATGCTTTTGCACTAGTTAAGACGTATTTTGTCTGTGTCTTTGTCAATTGCAGGTGCATTTAGTTGGTGGTTTTGAAGATGTGTCGCCTAATGTCTGATCTTATCCTTCCTTATATGTTATTGATTTTCAAGAGATGTAGTAGTTACCAGCTTGGATGCACAATGATTAAGTTGAAAATATTTGGCCTTTGTGTGCAGCACGCTAACAACAGAAGCACAAATTCAAAGTGGTGTGCAAAACCAGATGGTTATTCATTTCCTTTGTGTGCAAAAATAGTTGAAACTCTACAAAACAGGCAGGAAAATTTTCACATCCAAACTTTGTTTGTTCTTGGGCATAACACCGAGAGGGATTCTCAAGGAAATGCATGTCCCATTGTCAGGGGTCTTCTGGTTAGCATCCACAATTCTTTTATCTTCTGTTTTCTCTATGCTGATTTCATTTTCAAAACTTTGATACTACCGTTAAGACTATAAGTGTAAAAGATGGAAGAATGGAGCACGTTCATCAATCCTATTTAGTGATCGGTTAGCTAGATGAGGTCAGATAGTATGGAAAAGTCAGCAACTCAGAATAGCAACCTGATAGGAATAATTTTATATTTAAATATGGTAAATTACTTGTCACATTTAATTTGTTGTATTGAGTCTTTTACTTCACTCTAAAACATATGGTTTTCTATCTTTCTGGACATTATCAGGTAGAAACCTCTACTGGATCTGTCATGCCAGCCAGCTTTGATATAACTTCAAGATGTCCAGATGAAATTGTTAGGAGACTTAGAGTGTCTGCAGCACATGAAGACCCAAATTGGAAAGGAAAATTACTGGACACATATGACACTCCAACTGATCGATTCATTATTGCTCCTTGCTGTTGGTACAATGTTCTTTTACAGTTTAATTAATATCAGAAAATTTATTAATAGTAATACATCAGTAAAAATAAAGAAACTCCTAGAGCTCTAGTTCTGACAACTGTAGTTATTGTGCTCATCTATTCAAATATTGGGCTTCTCTAGTGTACACTGCCCAACATCTTTGTTGTTTTCTATCTATTTGTTTTTTTTTTTTTTTAATCTAACTATATACTTTGGTTGTCATAATGTTATTACTACTGTTGATGCAGGACTGTACGCCTAGTACGAATTGTTTCATCACTACAAAATCTTTCTGACACAGACATCCTCCTTATGTGTTCTACCTCGCCTTTTGCTGAAGGTCCAGATTTTGTGGAGAATGAAAGGAGGTTAGTTTTTTGAGTGACAAAAGGAAACCTTGTTCTCACCTTGCTTGCTATTTTGTTTCATATGGTTTTTCTATTTATCATTAGCTTCGTTAGTACATATGAATCAGCATTTTGCAGAAGTGAAGAGTTGATTAGCATGCCAACTAGAGTAGGCATTGAGCACTATGATAGTTAGGTTAGGGCTGATCAGAAAATAAAAGCAGTTTATTGTTGCTCCTTCATTCAGGTTGTGGGACTATCTAATCAAACATCCAGAGTGGGGAGAAACTTTTCCCATGAGTAAGCCGCGTGTCTTTGAAAGGACTGCTGAGGGAGGGTGGAAACAAGCTGACTATGACCATCACCGTGAGGATGGATCCAGGTTAGTTAATAACAGGAACCCAGTGGTTGGCTCCAGTGAACAGAGGAGTCCCGAGGTCCTGTAAGCAATATGCAAGCTTTCTTCCTCTGCTGATTGATGTGTATGATCAACAATGTTTGTTGCTCTGAGATTAGAATAATAAATTTGCTATGATGCTTTCTTGTTGGCTATTGGAGAAAGATTGTACAAGGATTCAACATTTTTTAAGTTTGTACTGTGATGTACCGTATCAAGAAATGCAGTGACTGGATAGGACTAGGGCTAAGCATCGAGTTTGAGTATATATGATATCTGTGGGTGCTGGATCTGTTCATGTAGGTATTTTACCTGTATTTGAAAAGAGGCAATTAAATATCAGGAATGAAAATGCATACTATCAAGTGTCAGGTTAAGTACGGCATGCGAGTCCTAACCTGCATGCTGGCCTCCTACTTAAATATATATATATATATATATATATGTATATGCACACACATTGATAATGTTTTTGATAAGTTTATGTATTCGCGTAATACAATAGTAAAATTTTTTTTTTTCTCATGTCTACTTAAAGAAAAGGGTTCTGTTTCTATCTTTTAAGAGCAAATAGATTCAATTGAATATTAATGGTAGAGACAGTTAATAATATATGAGTATTTTTTTGAATTTGAAATTAAAATACTATATTAATTATGAAAAAATGTCATACAATTAACATAGAAGTTGTTTAACTACACTAAAATTTTTAATATAATAATCATGTTCTAGTTCTATGCTTAATTTTGTAATATAATATCATGAAACTAAAATACCTATGCTTCTTTTTCTTCATGCAGGGAAGATTCTAATGAGCTAAGATTTTACAGAAATGTGTTTGCATGTAATTTGTTATGAGTCTATGTATTCACATATTTTATTTTATATATATGAACTTGTATTTGTGTTTTAACTTATATATTTTAATATAAGTATGAATTCATGTATTTTTTTTTATATATACGTCTTATGTATGAACCAAAATATTTGTTTTAAAATAAATTTAATTATATTTTAATATGAATCAAATATTATAATATTCAAAGAGTATACAAATATATCTACACGTATATTTGTACCTAACAAGTTAGATCACAATAACTGAAATATTATTGGGCATCAAAATTTTGTACATGTTACTATTCAAATCAAGTATAGATATAAGCAAATTTCTATGTACCTCCTTACTCCTAGACAGGACTCCCTTCTGTTCAATTGACCCATTGAATTGGAGGGTTGGGCTAGGGGTAACAGAAAAGTGGAGTTCAGTATAGTCTAGCTAGTGCAAGTATTGGGTTACCCAGCCCACACCACAAGTATGCCCTGTTCGGATGTTCGCTGTTCTTCAATTATTATAAAATATATATAGAAAAAATATAAAAATTAATATTAATGTAAAGTAAAATAAATTTCATTATATTCTCTCGCTATCGGTGTTCATTATTTTTACTTTTTTAATATAAAATTATAATAAAAAAATATATTTAATATTTTCTTAATATATTTTTTTGAAAAACGCAGGTTAGGCAAATTTTATATAGATTTATATTAATAAACTAATTAATAATAAATAAAGCCGCGTGGGAGCAATTACAGTTTGCAAAGTGACGGGCTGGATAAAAGGACGCCGGGCCGCCGCAGTTCCACTGGGAAAATCCAACTGTTGATGAGGTCAATAAAGTAATTTCGTTTTTCAAAAATGTAAATTGTATTGTATTTGGGATCGGATTCCGGAGGTTTTTTTTTTTTTTGTATATTCTCTTTTTTAAACTAAAATAAATTAATACAAATTTAAATAAATAAATAAAAATTTAAAAAAATGAAAATACAAAAAAAGAAGGGATAGCTTTTTTTTTAATTTCTAAAAATTCCTACTTCACTCAATTCAAATCTCAAACTTAAAATTTTTAATTTATAATATAAATTCTTAACTTTTAAATCACCACATAACTTAATTTATAAGAGGTGATTATTATTAATTTAATGAGAGTTTAGGAATTTTTTTTATATATTTCGAAAAAATAAAAGGTTATAATACTAATAAAGTACTAAACTCTAGTGGTAAAGAGTAAACGAAACCCTAGTTTTGATATATATATATATATATATATATAGACCGGTAGTAAATTATTTATTTTATAAAATAATTAAGTTAGCACTCAAATTTCAAAAACACACCTAGGCGTGGCCACGCTTCGCTACCCTACCATCGTGGAGGGATAACCAAATCAAAAAAATTATTATTCCTTCGCTTCTCCTCTTCTCTTATCATGGCTCAACAAACCCAACCTTGTTCCTCTTGGGGCACCTGGGAGGAGCTCTTGCTCGCCAGCGCCGTCAAGCGCCATGGCGTCCACAACTGGGATTCCGTCTCCATGGAACTCCGCACCAAGACCTCTCTCCCTCGTCCGCTCACCACCGCCCAAATCTGCCAGCAAAAGTACCGCGACCTCCAACGCCGCTTCACCGCCAATCATCCCCAAGACCAAACCCCCTCCGAAATCCCCTGGCTCGAGGACCTCAGAAAACTCCGCGTTGCCGAGCTCAAACGTGACCTCCACCGCTACGACGTCTCTATAGTGTAATTATTACATCTCCATGCTCTTCTTATGTCTCTCGCTCGCTCTTTCTTTTTGTATATTATATATTCCTCTGATGGATTCCTTTCAACAGAGCCTTGCAGCATAAGGTGAAGAAGTTGGAAGAAGAGCGAGAGCGGACCTTATCAACAAGTCAGGACGCCGAGGATAAACCAGATCTGGGCCGTGGCTCAGAGACCGACAAAACTCCTCCGGCGGAAATTCCTCAACCGGGGAAGGTTCCTGGAAATTCGGTTTCAGGGGAGGAGGAAAACCGGTCCGTGAACGGATCAAACTCTACCGGTTCGGAACGTAGGGAGAAGGAGAAGACCGATCCGGATCCGGTGAGGGCAGGGCAGGGCGAGGTGGTGGCGGATTCGACGGGGTCGGAGGAGTTGGGTGAGCTGAGCAGCGATGTGCAGAGCTCGGCGAGTTTGGGGAAGAAGAGGAAGAGGAGGCGGGTAGAATTGTGCGGTGGCGATGGGATTAAAGATAAATCAGAGGCGTCGGTTGGGCTGTTGGAGAAGATCCGGGCCCACGGCGAAAGCGGCTTGTTTGAGCGGCGGCTCCAGAGCCAGGTATGGATGCCAATTTCAATTTGCACGTTTTCGGTCGGTGTCTAAATT